GGGGCCCGGGAAAGCTCATGAATAATAAATAAGCTCATGAATATGCAAATAAAGTGGCGCCGCCTCCTCGTGAGCGAATAGGGGAGAGCGTGCTGCGCCTATTAATCAGCTCCAAAGGAAATTGGGTGGAGCTTTTGCTCGGGAGGGAGGGCAGGAGGCATGCAGCCCGCCCCTCCCTGTGCATTTTGGGCTGGGGAGGGGCGGCGATGGCGCTCTGCTGGAGGGGCGCCGGAGATTATTGGGGGGCGGAGCCCCCCCAAACAAATTTTTGAGGGGGCTCGGGCCCCCTCAAGCCCCATGGAGTCGGCGCCTATGAAGCTTCGTGTTGTGGGCTCCCCACTCCTGCATTAGCTGCTTGGTCACCTGAAGGGGTGTAGGCACACTGACGGCCAGAGGCAGTAAAAATACCCTCATGGCCAAAGCCATAGTCACCCACAGCCGTGTCTGCACCATTTGGGCTCAAGGATCTATTTATCTATTACCTAGTAGGTTCTTTGGGCCAGGGGGAGGCTTTAGGTAATTCCTGGAGGCTTCGGGTGGAGCTCTACTAGGTGGCAAGATAACGAATCGGGCTGGGGCGTAATTCCCTTATTGAATGTCCCACACAAATACCCTCCCCTGAAAGAGTGGCGTGAGTCTCGTTCTTGCAGGAGCAACTGGGTGTTCCATTGTGACTGGCAAGGTTTCAAAATCTCATGTTGGAGCAGCTTTTTGATGTGAGCTTGACGCGTCCCTTCCAGAGTGAAACAGCACCTGAAAAAAAAACTTTGACAAAGTTCCCAGAAAAATTTCATTTGCTTTTTAAGAAGTTACTCTTCAGGTCTTTGCTTAGAGGATCACTTTGCTTAGAGGACCACGCCGGGTTCCCTTTGCTCTCAAGGCTAAGGTGGACGAACAACTGGACAAGCTGATCGCCCAAGGAGTTTTGGAGCCGGTTGACCACGCCAAGTGGGAAACCCCCATCATCACGCCTGTCAAGCCAGATGGGTCGGTGAGAATCTGCGCTGTCTACAAGTGCATGATCAACAAGGCACTTCAGCAGCACGCTTATCCGGTTCCTGTTGTCCAACACCTGCTGCATTCCCTGGGTGAGGGTAAGGTCTTCGCTAAGCTGGACCTTGCCCAAGCCTATCAACAACTGCCAGTCGATGATGCCACTGCTGAAGCCCAGACGATCGTCACCCACCGGGGGGCATTCCGTTGCCGCCGGTTGCAGTTCGGGGTGAGTGTGGCTCCTGGCATCTTCCAAAGCCTTATGGAGCGTCTCCTGCAAGGGCTTCCGGGCGTGGTACCATATTTTGATGACGTCTTGGTGTCTGCAGACTCACACCAGCAGCTGTTCGAGCGCCTCCGTGCCGTGCTGACCAGGTTCCAGAGGCCGGGCTCAAGGTAAAGAGGGAGAAGTGCCAGATCGCCGTTCCACAGGTAGAGTTCCTGGGCTATCTTATCGATGCCTCCGGTCTTCATCCAACCACATCCAAGATCCGCGCTATCCAGCAGGCCCCCACTCCAAAGAACAAAACGGAGTTGCAGGCGTTCCTGGGGCTGCTGAACTTTTATAACATGTTCCTGCCCCACAAAGCCACAGTGGCTGAGCCTCTTCACCGACTCCTTAGCACAAAGACGCCTTGGCCTGGGGTCATCGGGAGACGGCGGCCTTCAACGCGGTCAAGGCTCTCCTTTCTTCAGACAGTGTGCTGGTACAGTACAGTGAATCCAGGCCGCTGGTCCTTGCCTGCGACGCCTCACCTTTTGGCATCGGTGCTGTCCTTAGTCACCGTTTTCCAGATGGAAGAGAAGCACCGCTCGCCTACTTTTCCAGGACACTATCTCCGACGGAACGGAATTACAGCCAGCTCGACAAGGAGGCATTGGCACTTGTGGCTGGAGTGAAGAGGTTCCATGAATACCTCTATGGCAGGACTTTTGACCTCATCACTGACCACAAGCCACTCCTGGGCCTCCTCGCCGGTGATCGTCCAACTCCACCGGTCCTCTCACCACGCATGCTGCGATGGACTGTTTTCCTGGCTGCCTACCACTACCGGCTCATCCATCGCCCGGGGAAATCGATGGGCCATGCCGACGCCCTCAGCCGTTGCCCTCTTCCAGCATTTGTGGAAGACCCGGCTCCAGCTTCATCGCTCCTTCTGATTGAGGATCTTCCGGCAGCGCCTGTATCGGCTGCCACTGTGGCCTCCGCATCTGCCCAGGATCGCACCATCAGCCGGGTGCTCAACTGGGTGTGGAGGGGGTGGCCACAAGGGCCTTTTGCATCGGAGTTCCAGCCCTTCGCAACCAGACAACATGAACTCTCAGCTCATCGTGGCTGCCTGCTGTGGGGAGACCGCGTCGTGATTCCCCAGGGACTCCGTCAGCGCGTCCTGGAGGCTCTGCACGTTGGCCACCCGGGAATTGTCAAAATGAAGGCGTTGGCTCGGTGTTACGTCTGGTGGCCTAATATGGACGATGCCATCACTGCCTGGGTGTCCGCCTGTCAAGCGTGCCAGGAGTCGAGGCCTGCACCACCGGCAGCTAAGGGACACACCTGGGAGACGCCAAAGACACCCTGGTCGAGGGTGCACATCGATCTGGCTGGCCCCTTTCACGGCCGGACCTTTATGGTAGTGGTGGACGCCTATTCCAAATGGCTGGAGGTCGCCCTGATGCCCTCCACCACTACCGAAGCTGTCATCCGGGTGCTGCGAGGCCTGTTTGCAACGCATGGGTGTCCTGATGTCCTTGTCTCTGACAACGGACCGCAGTTCACGTCAGGCACGTTTGAGCGGTATCTTTTGGGACTGGGCATCCGCCATGCCCTAACGGCACCCTTTCATCCATCCAGCAACGGGCAAGCGGAAGAATGGTGCGCTCGACAAAAGAGGCACTGGCGCGCCTGGACCGGGGAGACTGGCATGAGCGGGTCGCCGAATACTTGTTCGTGCAACACATCACCCCTCATGCGGCCACAGGGAGGAGTCCTGCTGAACTGCTTATGGGCCGCCGCCTCAGGTCACCGCTCGACCGGCTACACCCAGACTTTGCCGTGGCTGAACCCCCAGGCTGTGCCAACGCACCACGGTCATTTGTCCCAGGAAACCAGGTCTTTGCCCGGAACTATGTGGGGGACATCCCTTGGGTGCCAGCCACAGTAGTGGGAGTCACTGGACCTCGCTCGTACCAGGTGGCACTCGAAGACGGACGCTTGTGGCGACGGCACATAGACCAGCTTAGGCGCAGGGTTGGGGACTTGGACACTACTGTGGTGCCCCAACTCCGCTCGTAGCTCTGGAACAGATACTTACAGATGGCGATGCTCCACCTACATCTCTCTCGCAGACTGCAGGCGTGGAGCCGAACCAAGCCACTTCAGAGGGTCTGCCGGACTTCCCACAGACTCAGACCACTGCCGTGCCTGACATTCCGCCAACTCCACTTGCGGAGGCTCCACCCACAGCAGCGGATCCAGGGGACTTGGTTTCAACGCCACCTAGGGTCGCACCACAGCCTCAGCAAGAATTGTGTGGCCCCCCGGACTTGGCTACCAGTCCCCGGCGGTCTGTCAGAGTTTCCAAGCGCCCAACTTATTTAAAGGACTATGTTGTTGGACATGTATCACTGTTGGTCTAAGTATGGGAAATGTAACCGATATGCTTTTTGTGCCTAATCGAACCATTACGTGTAGTGCTGTATATAAGGAAACCATTACGATTGTAACTAACGCCTTATCTCGGTGGGGAGGGGTGTTATGTACTGAAGTTCTCACCCTGGGCCAGCAGGGGGATACTGTAGATAGTTATGCAAATGAAGGATCGAAAAGTGACGTCAGTGTTTGGATAGTTTGTATGCAAATGAAGGATCGAAAGTGACGTTCAGTGATTCGATAGTTGTTACAGTAACAAGGTACTGGAGCTCTATATAAGCAGGCTGACTGAGCCCTTCAGTTCAGTTCTGTTCCAGCTTACAAATAAAGAGCTGCTTTGGAGAAATCGCTGTGTTGTCTGATATGTTCACCCACAACTTAACAGATTCAGCATGGACTGGAACAAAGGACAATGATCAGCTCTTCCCTCTGGGGGCAGGAAACTGCAAAGTCCCCTCTGTCACCTGGAAAGTACTCATGGGGAGGGGGAAAGGAGGAACCAGCCAGGTGACAGGACACTCAGGTTACCACCACAACTCCTCCCTCAACCCCTCCTTTCTGTGATGTACGTATCTGAGGGGTGGTCTTAGGTTACACCCCTTCTGTAATGTATGTGTGATGTATCTGGGGGATGGTCTTGATCTACAGGGCGGCAATTTCAAAAGTCTTTATAAGACCTTGCCCACCATTTTTCTGAGTCCCTCTTCTCTCCTGCAAGTGAGGGGAGCACCCTGATGCATCAGTTCAATAAAGGCCAAGCCTAAAGGCTGCTGTTTTGCTCCAAGTTATCCTGGTTGGTGTCTTTACTTTTTGTCCAAGGGAGCCCTCAGATTTTTCCATTAACAATGCTCAGAGGAAATCTGATTGTTTCTTACGAACACTGTAAAGGGTTCTTTTGTTAATAAAACGGCCTGGACGAGGGGGTGGCGATACGCACTTCCTCCCAGAGTCTTGCTGGTCAAGCCTCATGTGTATTTTATTAATCAGAGTCCAATCCTTCCTTGCTTTTGGGACGCAACATGTTCTCTCTTCCATGGGACAGCCCTTGAACTCCTTCAACCGTTCCTCATCAGGCTTGGCTTCCAGACCCTTGATCATCTCTTGTCAATCTCCTTAAACCGTGGCACCCAGACCGGACACCAGGTTCTAGTTGGGGTCTGGTGCGAACCAGCCTGTAACCCCCCCCCTCTGAAAAACACACCTGTGCCATGGCTGCCTGCCTGGGTAGTTCCTGGAGTGGAGGGCATTGCTGAGCTGCCTTGGCCCCCTCCCTCCCCCAGAGGGCAAGAGAAGGAGGAAATTATGCAACGGCAGCTTTAATAGCATAAAATGTACACCCCCAAAGAAAGACCCACCCCCCCACCCCAAGGGCTGTCAAAGGCGCTGCCAAGTGCCACACCCCCCGCGCGGCCGGACGGCGTCGTAGATGAAGAGGCCCAGGAGGACGCAGAGGGCGAAGAGCAGCGCCACGGCCAGGACCACGTAGACAGCGGTGGTGACGGCGAAGGCGAAGAGGAAGACGGTGCGCTGGCAGAAGGCGGGGCGGCCGGCCGGGTTGTAGTTGGGGGGGTAGATGGTGTAGACCCACACGTTGCCTGTAGGGAGAATGGTGTAATAGAAGTTTTGAGGTCTTAGATGTATGTTCAATGTTCATAAGTGTACCAACCAAACACGTACATAGATCAGCACAGGAAGACCGACCTGAAGCCATTCTGACTCCCAAACTGACCAAATGATTTCTCTGCAAGGTTGAAGGAAAATGGAAAAGCCTCCGCGTTGTCTTTTCCTTCAGAAATCCTGTTTTTAAGGGTATGTCTGTGTATGAATAGGGTGAGCCTGTGACCTGACTCAGGAACTAAGTATTTCTCATTACAAAAGACTGGCCAGGCTCCCCAGGGATCCAATCAAGTGACCATTAACAGGTAACCTGCCAGACATAAACAATGCACTCAGATTTCTGTTGTAGACTGCCCTTTCTGTGATGTAGGTATGATGTTTCTGGGGGTGGTCTTGGACTCCAGGGCGGGCAATTTAAAATGTCTATATAAGGGGGGGCCACACCTGGGTTCTGGGTCCTCCTCCTTCTCCTGCATGAGAGGGGAGCACCCTGTTGCAACAGTTAATAAAGATCAGGCTTACTAGCTGCTTTGCTTCTCATTATTCTCTGGTTGGCCTCTGTTCTTTTCTCCGGCCGATGGAGAACCTGCAAAGGACTCTAGAAGGGCTCTTGTGTCCCCCATAAGGGCAGATTTTCGTTTATTACAGCGGGAAAAGAAGGGTCTTTCCCTGCCTCCCCCCCTGGAGATTTCGTTGGGGGGTGAACAAGGGAGGAGTAGGGGTCCCGTCGCTGACCTGCATCTCCTGCCTGCCCATCCGAGGCAAACCATCGAACCACCTTCTGAACCCCCTTTCTGAAGACCCCTGTTTTGAATGGTTCATGGGAGTCAGAAGGGGCACACAGAGGCCATCCAGCCCAACCCTCCAGGATGCGGGAATCGCAGCTTAGGCATCCCAGCAGACCTCCAGGGTAGGAGCGATGGAAAGCCCTGGGCTCCCTTTTATGGGGAAAGGGCAGGTTTCCGCCCGGAGCAGGGCCAGGCCAGGCCACACACACCACCTTTGATTTCCACTTCATAAATGCCCCCTTCTGCCGGGCAGCAGTTCCCACCAGGTATGTGGGGAAGAGGCAGGTGGGGGGAGACTCACCTGCCAGGAACCAGATGCAGAGGAAGAGGCAGCAGGCGGCCCGGAAGCGCTGTGCCCAGGGATTGGGTCGGTCCGTGCCATCCCCGCAGGGCAGGCAGCTGAGCAGCAGCAGCAGGAGGACGACCGCACTCAGGACGATCAGGTAGATGGGGATGAGAGGCTGCTGGGGGCACTGGCCCAGGTAGACTGCTCCTGCAGGTGGAGGCACAGCGGGAGAGGCTCAGCGCCCGGGAACCCCGGACTCTCCCCCTACGGGACCGCCTCTCCTGGTCTGCCCTGCAGAGGACCTTAAGGTCCATGAATAATCATAGTTTAGAGGTCCCTAAGGAAGTCAGATTATCCTCCCCCAGGGCCAGGGCCTTCTCAGTGGTGGCTCCGGCCTGGTGGAATGCTCTGCCCCATGAGACCAGGGCCCTGCAGGATTTAACCTCCTTCCACAGGCCTGTAAGACAGAGCTATTCTGCCTGGCCTTTAATCTGAATTCAGCCTGATCTTTTATTCCCCTTCCTTCCCTTTCTATAAAGATCACCCGCTCTGAGACCCCACAGCTAATTCTCCCCTGGTCTCCTCGCTGGTCCAAATAGGACCAATTAAGCCAGCTAGCCCTGGGGATTATCTAATGCTTATTTCCCCTAAATTGATTTTTGAATTTTATTGTTATTCATGTTTTTATACTGTATTTTATGCTGCTTTTATAATTGTTTTAAATTTGTTGTTAGCCGCCCTGAGCCCGGTTTTTGAACCAGGAAGGGTGGGGTATAAATAAAATTATTATTAATTATTATTATTATTCCTCCTGGCCGCAGATGTGGACCCCCCTCCCCCACTGCTGCTTCCCAGTGCTCAGAGTTGAGAGAGACCCCCAGTCCAAGGAATCACAGCTGCTACCCGCCCTTTAGGTGCAGCCCATTGCCAGGGTGGGGAGCCAGAAGGAGGCGCCCCGCCCCAAATGGCAACCCCAAGAGGCAGCGTGGCTTAGTGGTTGGAGCGCCAGACTAGGGCCTGGGAGACCAGGGTTTGAATCCCTCTGCTCAGCCACGTAGCTCGCTAGGTGTGACATTGGGGTGGTGGTCTGCCTTGCAGGGTCGTTGTGGGGATTAAAGGAGGAGGGTAGAGAACCTCTTATCCCGTCTTGAGCATAAATCAACCAAATACAATCCTATTATGGCAGCAGGAGGAGGAAGACTCGCACCCGGCTCCAGGATGTTTGCCAAATAATCAGAGTTGGGGGAGAGCTATGCAGGCCACATGCAAAACCCCAACCAACTAGCTGAACAGCCACCGATCAGGGATTTTTTCAGTTGGGATTCCTTTATTGCAGGGGGTTGGACTAGATGACCCCTGGTGTTCCCTCCCTAGTCTGGCCACAAACCAGGCCACAAGCCCAGCCCAGCGAGTGTTTCTGGATGAGCCACTTAGCAACACTGGCTACTGCCCAGAGCTTCCCTGAGCTGAGCTGGAGCTGGGTGCGAAACACTTCCCTCGCTTTGAGCTCAAGGTTTTTCTGCTCTTATCACTTTCAAGGTTGCATTTCCTTATCGCATTTCCTTCGGTTGCATCTGTACTTGCAGTTCTGAGCTGTCACAGATTGCAAGATAGCTGTTGATTTCCTGATGAATTAGTTGCCGCACATCTGCGGTAGGGGAAGGTTTGTGCATGTTGTGGAAAAAGAATACGAACCGTAGAAAAAACCAAGCATTAAACACTGGTAGAAATATATCTAGACCCGTGCATAAAATCTGTTTAAAACATAACAGATAATGACAATAAAAACAGCACAGCTCCAGCCCTTTCTTTAAAAGCAGCCTGTTCCCCAAACAAGGAAATCTCCAGTCTGGCTTCTCCAGGGAGAGAGTGGCCAAATCGTGGAACTGCAGAACTGGAAGGGAACCCAGGGGTCATCTAGACCAACCCGCGCCTGCAATGCAGGAATCTTTTGCCCAAGGCAGGACTCGAACCCACAACCCCAAGATTGTGAGCAATTAGGTATAAATGCTTTGTGCTGCCAATGCCCTTGCCCTGCAATGCTTTCTAGCTGAATCGCATCGGGTTCATATCGCCTTCCTTTAGTGGGTCGTGCAAGCAGCTATTCTGAATAATGCTTTTGTGCGCATGGTTTGGGGATGTTGGGGTGAGTTTCTAGAACTATGGGGAGGCAAGGACTCAAAAAAAACCCTTGGGGAATCACTGGTCTTGTCAGTAGCAATGCATTAGCAGGTTAATCCGGGTTAATGCATTTTAATGTTGTATTTTAATATTGTTTTTTAAGCTGTACTTCAATCAATTGCTTTTATATTTGGTGTTAGCCGCCCTGAGCCTGGTCTTGGCTGGGGAGGGCGGGGTATAAATAAAATTTATTATTATTTATTATTATTAATCTACAGGTGCAGAGACAGACAAGCAGGCAGACAGACAGACAGCCAGAGATCGAGTCTCTGCGCAAGGAGAGCATTGCACATTATTTTTCCCGACTCACCTACAACAATCCCAGCAATGGTCGGGGCAGCGAACAGGATCTTCACCAGAACTGAAAGGAAGAAAAAAAATCTGAAATAAGAGATTTAATGGCGGATTGGTTGCAATATCGCCAGGGAAACAATGACTTTAGCAGCTAATAAAAGTTTGGGTTCTCTCTTGTTGGGGGCTTCCATCTTGTTCCACCTGGTGGCAGGTGGGAGTTGTGAAAAGAATTTTGAGGTCTTAGATATATGTTAAATGTTCATAAGTGTAGCAACCAAGCACGTACATAGATCAGCACATGAAGACCGACCTGGAACCATTTTGATTCCCAAACTGACCAAACGTTTTCTCTGCAAGGTCAAAGGAAAAGGGAAAAGCCTCCCCATTGTCTCCTCCTTCACAAATCCTGTCTTAAGGGTATGTCTGTGTATGAATAGGGTGAGCCTGTGACCTGGCCCAGGAACTAAGTATATGTCACCACAAAAGACTGGCCAGGCTCCCCAGGGTATCCAATCAAGTGAGCATTAACAGATAACCTGCCAGACAGGAGGTAAACAACGCACTCAGATTTCTGCTGTAGACCGTCCTTTCTGTGATGTATGTATGATGTTTCTGGGGGTGGTCTTGATCTACAGGGTGGCAATTTCAAAAGTATAAGGGCAGGCACACCTTTGTTCTGGATCCTCCTCCTCTCCTGCGTGTGAGGGGAGCACCCTGTTGCAACAGATCAATAAAGATCAAGCTTACCAGTTGCTTTGCTTCTCAATATTCTCTGGTTGGCCTCTGTTATCTTCTCCTACCAATAGGGAACCTATGTAAGGACTCTATATGGGCTCTTGGATACCCCATAAGGGGAAAAGGGCAGATTTTTGTTTACAACAGTACGGGGCTTCCATCTTGTTCCACCTGGTGGCAGGTGGGAGTCCTGTCGCAACAGTCTTCAAGAAAGACCAAGCCGACTGGCTGCTGTTTTGCTCTGGGATTCCTGGCTGGGGTCCTTGTTTTTTTGCCCAAGGGAGCCCTCAGATTTCTCCGTTCACAGCGGGGAGCAGGGTCCAGGGAGAAGGACCTTGCATGATGGTCACTGCTCACAGACGCATCGCAGGGGGTGGGATGGATGACCGCTGGGGGCCCCTTCCAACTAGACAAATTTGGGAAGGGAAGAGGCGGCGACTCACCCATCAGGACGGAGTGGAGCGTGGACTCCTCTGTGGCCTCCAAGAGGGCCGAACGGCTGCCCGCCAGCAGTGGGGTCTCCTCGGGCATGGTGTCAACAGAAGCTGTGAGCCTAGGAAATAAAAACCGGGCAGGTGGAAAGGGCAGGAGCATCTCTTCCCCCACCCCTCCAAGCTTTAAGTAGCCTTTGCTTCTCTCTTAGGGGCTGCTGGGACCAGGTGTGGCCCGGCCTCACCTGCACCTGGGAAAGAGATGATTGTGCTTTTGCCCTTGCAGGATCAGGCCCCGACATCCTGCCTGCAGTCAAGGGAAGGGAGGGCAGGTGAGCTGAACACTAAAATACAATAATCTATTAAACATTAAAAACTTCCCTAAACAGGGCTGCCTTCAGGTGTCTTCTGAATGTCAGGTAGTTCTTTATTTCCTTGACATCTGTTGGGAGGGTGTTCCACAGGGCAGGCGCCACTACCGAGAAGGCCCTCTGCCTGGTTCCCTGTAACCTCACTTCTCGCAGGGAGGGAACCGCCAGAAGGCCCTCGGATCTGGACCTCAGTGTCCGGGCTGAACGATGGGGGTGGAGACGCCCCTTCAGGTCTACTGGGCCTTTGAGGCCGTTTAGGGCTTCAAGGTCAGCACCAACACTTTGAATTGTGCTCGGAAACGTACTGGGAGCCAGTGTACGTGTTATGTGGTCTCGGCGGCTGCTCCCAGTCCCCAGTCTGGCTGCCGCATTCTGCATTAGTTGTAGTTTCCGGGTCACCTTCAAAGGTAGCCCCACGTAGAGCGCATTGCAGTAGTCCAAGCGGGAGACAACCAGAGCATGTACCACTCTGGTGAGACAGTCCACGGGCAGGTAGGGTCTCATCCTACGTACCAGATGGAGCTGGTAGACAGCTGCCCTGGACACAGAATTGACCTGCACCTCCATGGACAGCTGTGAGTCCTCAATGACTCCCAGGCTGCGCACCTGGTCCTTCGTGGGCACAGTTACCCCATTTAGGACCAGGGAGTCCTCCACACCTGCCCGCCTCCTGTCCCCCAAAAACAGTACTTCTGTCTTGTCAGGATTCAACCTCAATATGTTAGCTGCCATCCATCCTCCAACCGCCTCCAGGCACTCACACAGGACCTTCACTGGTTCTGATTTGAAAGAGAGGTAGAGCTGGGTATCATCCGCATACTGATGGACACCCAGCCCAACACCCCCTGCTGATCTCTCCCAGCGGCTGCATGTAGATGTTGAAAAGCATGGGGGAGAGGGTAGGCTTCAACGGAAGGATACCTTGGCATGCTCAGAGGAACTCCCGCCGTAATTATCCCTTCCTCAGTTCTCGGCCCCTGCGCCCCACCCAGGACCCCCTCCCTGGGCCCTGCTGGCACCCTGAGCTCAGCACCCAAGCTCTGCGGTGGGATTCAGGAAATCCTGTCTCTTTTCCTGCCCCGGTGCAAACTGGAGGAAGGAGCAAGCGGGGGGAGGATGGGGGCAGGAAATCTGGGGGGAGTGGGGGGGGTTTGAGCTGGGAGATGGGGCTCTGGGGCCCTTCCACCCCCGTAATTAATTTTATTATTTTCTTTACATATTTTCTTTTCTTTACATATTCTTTCTTACAAGTTCGTGACTTCCCTCCCTTCAGTTGTTATCCCATATCCCATCCATTCGCCTATTTTATCTTTCAATTTCCTATCCTCTACATTGCAGGAGTTCCTTCAGTCCTGCTGGTACCTTTAGTTTTACACAGCTACCCTTTAAGCATACAGTAAATTTACTCCAATTTCCTTGGAATCTCCAATCGTCCTGATCCCGAATTCTTCCGGTCGGTTTGGCTAACTCCACGTATTCAGTCTGCCGCTCCAAACCTCTTTTGATTTCCAATTTTGGGCCGACAAAGTCCTTGCAACAGCTGCGGCATACATAAATCATCTTTTATCTTAATCTCCTTTACCATTGAGCTGAGTAAAAAAGCTTTTGGCTTTTTGGAGAAGGTAAATTTTAATATTTTCTTAAGTTCATTATAGACCGGGGTGCTTTTCTGGGATCAGGGTGAGTGCGCTGGGTGTTCAAAAAATGGGGCGCCCACCCTATAGCCCTCTTTTTTCGAGATAGGGGGCCACCCACGGCCCTGCCTAGCCACCCTAGACCCTCCAGGAGACCCCAAAGCATGCCTGGTTCACCTGCCAAAGCCCCCAAGCCCGCACTGCAGGGTTAGGGTTGCCCCCAGGGCCGAGGGAAGGGGGTCTGCCCCTCTCTCTCTTTTACCTGCGTCCGGGGAAACTGTGCGCAAAGGACCTCGCAGTCTAGGGACCCCGATTTTGTGGGGAAACCTCACCCTTCATCTGCCACCAGCTGACTCTCCCCACTTCCTGCCTGGCCGTGGGGTGGGCGTTGGGTGGGGCGGGGGACCCTGGTGACGGAGAGACCCCATGACTTCTTCCTGCCCACGCTGGCCCAGCCCAGCCCCTCTTATCATCAACCTTTGCTTGGGCTCTATCTCAGAGCAGATGGAAAGAGGCCGGTGACGCAAGAGGACTCGGAGGCGGAAGAAAACGCTTTATTGTGGCTGCTCTGATTCGGAAGGCAGAGAGAGAGAGAGAGAGACGGAGGGCAAAGGTGCTCCTCTCGCTTCGACACAGAAGCACCGGATTGCAGTGATAGAATCACAGAAGCGTCATGTTGGGACCCCCGGAGGTCATCCAGCCCAACCCGCTGCTATGCAGGAATCTCAGCTAAAAATAAATCACGGGATGGCAGAGGGGGAGTTCGGGAAGCCAGCGAGGGATCAGTGGTAGGTTTCCTGGAGAGACAAAAACAAGGCAGAGCGTGAATGTGGGGCGGAGGAAGGGGCTTTCTGTGGGGAGCGGGGCAGGCCCCAGGCTTCCCTTGCCAATGCTGGCTTTGCAATCTGGGCCCAGTCTAGCTCGGCGGCACTGTCCCTTCGAAGGACCACAGGGGCGCCCCTCTCTAGCTGGCCAAGGGGGCCCAAGGCAGAGCTACGGATCTTGTGGAGATGGCGGGGACCCCAAAGGTCATCTAGCCCAACCCGCTGAAAGGCAGGAATCGCGGACTCCGCCCTGTCCTCACTTTAAGCTCTCCATCTCGCTGCTGGGACACGTTGGTTAGGGCAGCAGCAGCAGGAGGAGTTGGAAGCAAGGAGGGTACCCAGGAAGCCCCCAGGAAAGAGGGGGTCCCCCCCAGACATGCCCCATTGCTGCCTCCTCCTCCAGAGAAAGGGGGGCTGCTGGAGGTCCTCCTGCGTCTCCCCCCGCCCGCCTTCCTGCAAGGCCTCTGCTCACAAAGAGCTGCAATCCCACTGAGTAAATAAATAACTAAATAAATAATAATACCGTATTTTTCTGTGTATAAGAAGCCCCCATGTATAAGATGCCCCCTATTTTTGGGGGACTCCAAATAGAGAAAACGGGGGGGGGGGGGAGAGATTGTATCCATGTATAAGATGACCCACAATTTTGAGCACAATTTTTGAATAAAAAAAACCCTGGTCTTACACACGGAAAAGTACGGTAATTGTTTTATTATTAGCTGGATATTAATTAACTAACCTTGCATGCCACCTTTCACCCATAGATCTCAGGGCGGTTGACAACATAAAGACACAAGCACAAAATACCAGGAAGAAGAAGAAGTAGACACCAATAACTACCCCCCCCGTAACGGGGGGTTGGTCTAGAGGACCTTTGGATTCCCCTCCAGCTCGACCGTTCTGTGGTTCCAGGAGCTCAGCGGGGCTTCCTCCGCAGGGCTGCTTGCGACTGGGCTCCCCTCCCCCCCCAGGTTGGGCTAGGGAGGCGGCTGCCTTTGGGGGGGCTGCAGTGAACCCACCTTTTCTTCCTCGTTGCAGGTTCCGCAGACGCAGCCGAAGAGCCCGTTGAGGATCTGCAGGGTGCAGAGGCAGAACTCCACCAGGCCGGAGGCCAGGATGATGGAGAAGAGGATGACGTTGAAGCGGGTGACGCCGGGGGGGTCCCGGCAGACGTCCCACAAGCTCGTGTCAAAGAGGTAGTTTTTCTCGCTGGAAGAGAACGGGGCAGAGAGAGATGGGCAACCTCGTCACGCTCACAACTGTCTCCCTCGCACAAGCCCTGCACCCCTTTCCTTCACCCCTGAAGGAGAGCAGTGAGGGCCCCCAAAACTGGATGGCGAGAAAAGATTCAAGGGAGGAGGAGAGGGCTATGCAGGGCTGCTAGCCCCTAGGGGGTTATGCTTCTGGAAACCGCAGGAGGGGAAGAGTTGGTCTTGTGTTCGAATCCTGATTGCGGATCACCTGCGAGAACAAACGGGATGCTGGACCAGGCGGGCCGCTGATCTGACCCAGACTTAGGATGGGAGAAAACAAGGAGGGCCATGGCAGGGCCCCACCCTGGGTTAAAGGTAAAGGTAAAGGTAAAGGGACCCCTGACCGTTAGGTCCAGTCGTGGCCGACCTCTGGGGTTGCGGCGCTCATCTCGCTTTTACTGGCCGAGGGAGCTGGCATACAGCTTCTGGGTCATGTGGCCAGCAGGACTAAGCCGCTTCTGGCGAACCAGAGGCAGCGCACGGAAACGCCGTTTACCTTCCGCCGGAGCAGTACCTATTTATCTACTTGCACTGGGATGCTTTCGAACTGTTAGGTGGGCAGGAGCAGGGACCGAGCAACGGGAGCTCACCCCCATTGTGGGGATTCGAACCGCCGACCTTCTGATCAGCAAGTCCTAGGCTCTGTGCTTTAACCCACAGTGCCACCTGCGTCCCTGGGTTAGGAAGAGACAAAAAAAGCTTTAAGTCAGCAAAGCTGATCTTGAAGGGGCATCCTCTCTTTGCCCTCCAGCGACGCTCCATTTCTACACATCTGTTACATAAATCAAATACAACAAAAAGTGGCTTTGTACCTCCAGAGCTCTTTCCTTCAAGTAATGTCTCCTTTAAAATAAATCAGAAACTCCGCCGTGCCTGCTCTGAAGGGTTTCCCCTGTGCCGAAACTGGAGGTAGCTGAAGCCACTCCCCACAACACCCTCCAGACCCCTGGCTCACCTGAAGTCCTCCAGGCTGCTCTCAAAGGGGCGGCCCCACTCCAGCGTCCCGTGGCCAGGGGGGTACTGACACATGGGCCCGTGAACAAGGCCCAGAGAGGAGGTGGCGACGGCGTAAACGCCTCCCAAGGCCCCCACAGCTGCGAAGATGAATCGAAAGGCACATCTGGGGAGGAAATGATGGGGCGGGGGTTAGTGGCCAGCCCCAGGGAAACAAGAGCCCTGAAGGTGGGACTTGGTTCTGGGTGGAGCACCAGTTCCCCTGGTATTTAATAATAATAATGATGATTAAAATAATTCTATTTATATCCCACCCTCCTCAGCCAAAGCCGGGCTCAGAGCGGCCAGCGACAATGGAAAGCAACACAGTTCACATAAAATCACAATCAATCAATTGAAATGCATTCTAAAATCAATTCATTTAAAATCAAATTCAAAATCAAAATAAAAGGCAACCATTGGGCTAGAGTTCTATCGATGGGATTTACAGAAGGGAGAGGGGGGTCAGACTGTGGCCTTGGCCAAGGGCCTGGTGGAACAGCTCTGTCTTGCAGGCCTTGCAGAAAGATGTCAAGTCCCGCAGGGCCCTAGTCTCTTGGTACAGAGCCTTCCACCAATCGGGGCCATGGCCGAAAAGGCCCTGGCTCTGGTTGAGGCCAGCCTAAACTCCCTGTGCCTGGGACCTCCAAGATGTTTTTTGTCACTCATCTTTTCTTCTGCCTCCTCCCCCTCGCTCTCTGTTTCCTCCCTTGCCCTTGCCTCTGCTCCTGAACCCCTGACAGTGAAGAAAAAAGACACGCCCCAAAAGAGGCTTGTAGTTGATTTCAGAATCATAAACTCGAGGACAAAGCCCACGGCATTCCCCATGCCCAAGATCGACGACCTACTAGCGACGGTGAGGAAGGGGAGAATCTTCACCAAGCTGGATCTGCGAGGCGCATACAATCTGATACGCGTGCGGGAGGGCGATGAGTGGAAGACGGCCATGTTTACGCCCTTAGGCACCTATGAATACAAAGTTATGCCTTTCGGCCTCCAAAATGGATCTCACACGTTCCAAGCATTTATGAACCGCGTGTTAGCGGGACTCCTATACAAGAAGTGCGTCTGCTTCCTCGACGACATCCTGATCTTCTCGGAATCGCAGGAGGCTCACGAAGGGGACGTCAAGGAGGTCCTGCAGAGACTACGGGAGCACAAGCTTTACGCCAAGCTGGAAAAGTGCCAGTTCGACGTGAAGGAAGTGGATTTCCTGGGCTACAAGCTGTCAGACAAGGGACTCGCCATGGACAGCAACAAGGTCCGCTCGGTGCTGGACTGGAAGAGCCCGCGCAATAGGAAGGAAGTCCAGAAGTTCGTCGGTTTCGCCAACTTCTACCGCAAGTTCATCAAGGGCTTTGCGAAGGAGACGGCGGCTATCACGGACACCCTCAGCTCCAAGAAAAAGAAGTTCATCTGGACGGACCAGGCGGAGCAGTCTTTTCAGAGACTCAAGCGTCTCTTCGCGTCCGAGGAACAGCTGCTTCACATCAACCCCGGCAGACCGCTGAGGATCGAGACTGACGCATCAGACAGAGCGGTGGGGGCGGTCCTGTTGCAGCAAGATCCGCAAGGGAACTGGAGGCCCTGCGCATTTTACTCCAGGAAGCTCAGCAAGTCGGAGCAGAACTACACAATCTGGGACAGGGAGTTGCTGGCCATTCATGCAGCCTTCAAAGCGTGGCGGCACTTCCTCATTGGAGCCAGACACACCGTGCAAGTCCGCACAGACCATAAGAACCTGGAGTACTGGCGCACGGCGAGGTTCCTGAACCAAAGACACATCCGTTGGGCGGAGTTCTTTGCGGATTTCGACTTCAGGATAGAATACATCCCGGGAGACAACAACGTCATGGCAGATGCACTTTCCAGGAAACCGCAGTATCTGGAGGAAGCGGCGCCGGCGGCAGCTAAGCACATTTTCACACTGGCAGTGTGGAAGTGCTCGGCAGCCACCGTTGACCTGGACGCAGTACGTCGCGCGTTACAGACGGATCCATTCGCGCAATCCAAGATGGAAGAGGTGCGACAAGGCACAGCGAAGGATGCCGAGTTCCAGATCCGTGACGGACTGCTCATCCGCAAAGGGGTTCTATACGTGCCGGGAGACGAACTCCGCGCGAAAGTCCTGCAGCAGTTACACGACGCACCCAGCGCTGGACATTTCGGCAAGGACAAGACAGCAGAATTAGTAGCCAGAGACTTTTGGTGGCCCAAGATGAGGGGTGAAGTTGAGGATTACGTCGCTCGGTGTGACACTTGCCAAAGGGCCAAACCAGTACACAGGGCGCCGGCGGGACTGCTGGAACCGCTTCCGACGCCGTTTGAACCGTGGGAGAGAGTGGCCCTGGACTTTGTCACAGATTTACCCAGCTCGAGAGGCAAAACAGCGGTGCTCGTAGTAGTAGACCTGTTCACCAAGATGGCGCATTTCATTCCTTGCGCGAAGGTGGCCACGGCGGAACAAACCGCCAAGCTGTTCATAGACCACGTGTCAGGGGTTCAGGAGCAGAGGCACAGGAAAGGGAGGAGATAGAGACCGAGGGGGAGGAATCCGAGGGAGAGGTTAGCGATGACAGCCGCCCTAGGTCTCTAAGTCTTTCCAGTGAATCGGAGGATTCACAGAAGGGGGCTCCCGTGGTCAGAGCAAAGGGGTTGCCAAGGGGAACACCCCAGGAAGGAGGGGCCAGAGGGGACTCAGAGAGCAGCAGTTGGAAATCGGGACCAGCTTCCCCACCAAAGAGCAGTAGGGGGGAGGAGTCCCAGGTATCGACATCAGGCAGCTCTCCGTCAGCGGAAGGACATGAGTCAGGATTGGCCACGCCTGCATCAGAGAGCGAGGAAACGGTCAAAAGGAAGGTTGGAGACTGGGCGCGCGCGCCAAGTTCAAACGTACAAGAGGGTGGCGCAGTGAGCAGCCCGGAAAGGGAGCCAGGTCCTAAAGCCCGCCGAAGGGAGGGGGAAGAGTCAGAGGGGTCCGCGTCCGAAGCGTCCAGGAAGGAAGGGACCCCGGGGGGTAGGAGGACCCAGAGGCGGAAGGAGAGACGGAAGAGGTGGAGTAAGGTTAGAGTCTTAAGCTGGTGTACAGGGGGCGGAGATTCAGACGGAGCTTCGCCGGTCTAGTCTCTAGACGTAGAGACGCACGCTAGGGCTTGAAAATGGAAACTGTACTGCAATAAAGACTTTTGTACATTACTACTGGCTAGCGTTGGTCCTCTGTGAGCTGGGACCTGGAGGCAGTCTCTGACACCACGTGTTCAGGGTTCACGGATTGCCGAGGTCCATCCTATCCGACAGGGGGCGCCAGTTCATCTCGAATTTCTGGCAGAAGCTGCTGGGCATCCTGAACGTCAAGATCAACTTAGTGTCGGCACGACATCCGCAGACCAACGGACAAGCAGAGAGGGTCAACGCCATCATGCAGCAGTACTTGCGCTGCTACGCGAATCAACAACCCTCGACATGGGTGGACTACCTACCGCTGGCCGAGTTTGCCTACAACAACACGAAGCACGCGTCGACAGGGGTGACGCCGTTCTTCGCCAACAATGGGCGGCATCCCAGAACCTTCCCGGGTTTGGAGACGAAAGGGGAGGGGGAGCCACAGGGGGCAGAGCACTTGGCAGCAGAACTGCAGGAGGTCCACGAGCAACTCCGACGGAACTTACCAAGTCGAGGCACAAATCAACCCAGTAGCTTTCCGACTGACCCTTCCGGAGGGTTCCAGAATGCACCCGGTCTTTCATAGGTCGGTGCTTACACCCTACAAGGCACCACACAGGTTTCAGGCGCCAGGGACCGCAGCAGACCCACGCAGACAATCACCCACAGGGGGGGAACCACGAAGGGCGACACCAATCAACGAGGTCACGGAGATTTTGGACTCGAGATGGGGGGAGGAGGGAGTTGAATATCTCCTTGCCGAGGAAGGTACCCCGGCAAGCGCCAACAGGTGGGTACCGGACTATGCCCTGGAGGAGCGCTATCTCAAAGACGAGTTTCATGCGCTCTTCCCCCAAAAACCCATGCCGGCAGATTTTTTCGACGACTGGCTTTTCACACCCACACTTTCGGCCAGCACGTTCCAGGGGTTCTCATCCGACGAGGAGACGGAGCCGGGCTGGAGCACACCAAGGGGATCTTGTTCGGGGGTAGACACTGACCGTTCCTATTGGTGGGATGATCAGCCGGAGGAGGAATGGAGAAGAAAATGGTTGAAGGGACCTTGGCACGCAGCTCCCGACGTACCGGAGGGTGGGGAGGACATGGACGTGTGGGGTGAGGATCAGGGGTTTGAGCACGAATACAAAGAGATGGAAGCGGAGGAGATAGACGTCGATGAGCACAGTACGGACTGGTTGGATCCAGCGGGAGGGCTGCACGACAGGGGCATCGAACAGTATCCAGCTCTCACCCCCCAGGCACTGGAGCGCCCGGAACCCACGCCCGGAGAGGGGGAGGGGGGAAGGGGGGGCTTCGAGGGGGGATGGATGTCAGGGGCTCAGGGACTGAGCCACAGGAGAAGGAGGAGATGGAGAGCGAAGGGGAACAATCGGAGGGGAGCGCAGGAGGGTGTGACAGTGACCAGAGAGATTCCCTGAGTCTCTCCAGCGAATCAGAAGATTCCCAGAGGGAGGCCCCCAGGGTCAGGGCAAGGGGGGCCAGTGGGGAGTCGCCAAGCGGCAGCTGGAAATCAGGGGTAGCTTCCCCACCAGAGCGCAGCGGGGGGGAAGAATCCCACAGATTAGAACAAAAGCCTCCTCCTGCAGGAGGAGGGAGTGAGGCAGGACTGACCACGCCTCCGTCAGAGAGTGGAGGGGCGGAGGAGAGAGCAGGGCCGGCCAGCCTCCCGGAAGGAGAAAGCAGTGAAGGGAGCAGTGTAGCCATTAGGAGGAAAGTGGGCGGCTGGGCGCGCGCGCCAAGTTCAAATGTAGAGGAGCGAGGGACAGCAGAAAATCCGGATTGGGAGCCAGGTCCCAAAGCCCGCCGGAGACAGGGGGAGGAGTCAGAGGAATCCGCCTCCGAAGAGTCCAGGAGGGTTGGGACCCCAGAGGGCAGGAGGACCCAGAGGTGAAAGGAGCAGAGGGAGGAAAGGAAGAGGTGGAGCAAAGCTCGGGTATTGAACTGGTGTAAAGG